TACAGAAAGGGAAACTGAGGCACCAGCAGATAATTGCTAAACTTGAATCCGAATGTAGCGAGCGGAGCCTGCCTCTGAACAGCACAGATCCAACCTTAGCTATTGTATGCTTTGGCAGCTCCGGATTTATGGTCGTCTGTGAGGGTTACCAGGTTGGACCTTAAATAAATAGATCTTTTCGTCCCCTCAGGCTTGGTTACTCTGAAAGAAATCAAGTGGCACAGATATTTCGGAAGAGCATTTGCAGAATAATTTATTCTGCAATCATTTGCAGGCTAGTGACTCTGCAGAGATGAGGAATCATATTTCAACCTCGGCAGAGCTGGCAACATTAGATCATTATGTTTGTGCACAGTTCCCAGCACAACGAGACCTGATTTCCACCTGGCACTTGCAGACACTATAACAACGCAAATTAAAAATGAATAAGTTTGAAGAAAGAGCTGGTGTCTTTCCTGTGCAATCTCTCACACCACTCGTTCTTTCTCTTTTGCACGGGACTCACTTTTATTTTTAAGCCAGTCCTTCAGTTAGAGCATTCTTGGATTTTTTTTTCCCTAACGAAGCATCTGCCTTGCTGGTTACACTAATTCCCTCTCTCTTTTGATGTGGGAGCATGTTTTCGGTTGGATAAATCCTCTAGCTGACACCCAGAGAAGGACTGACGGGAACATTTACATCCTCCCCGCTCGAAATGACGCTTTTATTTCCTTACGTGCGCTCGCAGGCCAGGCTGCGCTGTGCGTGGAAAGGCCCCTCTCCACCGTGACGGCATTAGACGGCTGCGGCCCAGCCGGCGGCCGCGCTCCCAGCGGCAGCGCGGGTGGTGCAGCTCGTTCTCGTTGTTGCCAGCTCTGTGTTAATTATGCCACGCTAGTTTCTTTTGCTTTCTTTCATGAAGTGCTCTCTCCTTCTGTTATCTATTTCTAATTGCTTTATTGCCTTATTTTAGAAAGCGGAGAAGTCAAAAGTGCCCAAATGGCTTCCCAATATAGCAACAGTGAAGTCAACCGATCTGCTCTTTAGCAGGGTTAATTCAGGCTCGTTCTGCTTAACAGAGCTCTGTCTACCAGTACCAAAAAAAAAAAGGATCCTGCTCAGCTTTAATGGACCACGAAGAGATTTGACCCAGCTGTTCTTAACAGAAATTGTAACTTAACTCTTTGGTTGTTGTTGCTGTTGTTGTTGTTTTAACCTAAGGCGCACTTGTGAAATGCCTGGGGCCATGCAGAGTCTCCCTCTCGTGGCTGTAACTCAAGGGCACCTTAAACACCCTCTCATTTCTTTCGCTTCACCCAGAGAGCTCACAGGAAACGTTAGCAATCCACCATGCCTAATCGTTATTGAACAGAAACACCACCGCCTCACGTTAGCGTTGTTATAGCCATCATGGTCTACGCAGCCAAGAGAAATGCTATTTGGGACTCTTCTTGCCCTGATCATGGGTGCTTTGCAGGGTAATTACTTGTGTATTACAGAAAGGGAAACTGAGGCACCTTTTTTTTTTCTTTTTTTTTTTTTCCTGGAAGAAATAGCAGCTTATGATTGAGACTAGCTGGCCAGGTCCTTACACTAGGTCAAGCGCTAGCAGCCTTTGCTGGAGGTGATGGTTTCAGACCCTGATGATGGTGCTAAACCTGTGTTTCAAATATCACCAGCGCTTTAAACTGGCTGGCATCAAAGGGAACAGGTCTTCAGGAACAATCCTCAGCGCTCTCCAGACAGCCAGTAGCTCCTAGGCATCTCAAAGAGAACCTCCAAATCCAAACTGAGGAGGCTTTGCTTTTCCTCACCAGCTCTTTTTACTTTCCTGGAGAGCCCATCGTGGCTGACAGACAGCGTGCTGGCCTCCTCTTCCCCCCGGGTTAGACCCTGTCTCAGCGCAAAGGGGCACCTCTGGGCGAACACCATTGGGGCAGGAGGTGGTGCTGGGGTCAGGGAAAGGGGTCTTAGGATAACGTCTAATTGGGGATCATCAGAGCAGGGGGGGTGGGGAATCTGAGAAAAAAAGAGAGATGCCATTGCTGACAGCATTAAAAAGCAAAGACAGCAATGGCATCCAGCTCTTTCACAGCCCACAGCACAGGTCCCAGCATGCTCAGTCACACAGCGGGTTGGGAGTGACTTCTCCTTGCCGTTGCGTTTGAGCTAATGTGAAGCTAGCGAGACCTGGTCCTCGCCGACCAGGCTGCCTGCCCCACGGGTGATGGGCAAAGTGTGAAACAGCCCCATGAACAGATAGATACTCAGGCCACCTCTGGACCCAGATTTGCTACGAGAGCGTCCTCATGCCCATCCTGACCCTGGGAGTGAGCCGGTGTCTCTGCAGCAGCCTGCAGCACCGCCCGGCTTGCAGAGGGTCTGCACTGCCCTGCGAGGCTGCCCTGAGACACGGCCTCACGTGCCTTCTGCTCAAGACCATCACGGAGACAGTCAGAGCCTCCATTTCTACCCAGATGAAGCCCTACTGTCTTGAGCAGGGACTGAATGTGGCCTGGAAGGGTGAGGTCACACAAAACCTGGGCAGCTTGAGATGCTGGAAACATTTTGTGCCAGGTTTTGCTGTTCCAAACCAAGCCCTAGAGTCTTTCCTGCCTTCTCATTTCAGCCAGGAAGGCTTTCTGCATGGAAAAAGAAAAGAAAATATATTTCCAGCTGCTGGTGGATTATCCTAGGGGCGGAGAAACTCTGCCCCAACCTTCCTCCTTCAGAAGCCATGGACCCTCCATGCATCATTTATATTTTTGCTTTGGTTTCTCTGCTCTGACTGCAGCAAGAAGGAATCGTGTACCTGTATCTAAGGGAAAATTGGACCCAATAATATTTAAAGACATGAAACCACGGAAACATTGGCAGGACTACAAATAAAATGCACTGAAACGAAATACTTTTCAAACCACCGATAGCAATAACTAGAAAAAGAGAAAAAGCTGGTCACTCTAAAATGTGACCGGCTCCGTCATCTTCCCCTGGCTCATGCCACACTGCTAGTCACTTCACCCAGGAGCCCCTCTCTGCTCCAGGGTTTTCTGTTCTTGGAGGATCTTCTCCAATGGATTTCCACTCCGATGAGCTAAAAGAATGATCCTTTCTAGGGATCACTTCTCTGAATATAACAATTCTTTATTAATCAAGTTTCGAACCACACAAGTACTAGCTTGTGGGGGGTTTTTTGGTTTTATTTTGTTTTTCTTTCCAAAACAAATGAAGGGAGGGAGAATGCTGTGGTCAAATAACGCGATCCGTTAGTTTTTATTTATTAGCCGACGTGAAAATTAACAGCGGATATATAAGGTCTCCAAGGTTTCAAGTGGAAATTCAAAACCTTTCAGAACAAAATATTTCGGACTGAAAAATGGGCAAGCATATTTATGGTGAAACTGAAAGTGCGTTTGACCTGGATAAACCTAGTCATCCGTGGAGAGCTGCACGGCTTACCGCAAACTTTGGTATTTGAATGACTGGTGTCCCCTCAAGTACAGTTGGATGCTTCAGCAGACGCAGTGAAGACAACTGAGCAAGTTCTTTTTGGACAGGAAACAAAGTTTATGGTAAACCACAAGCTGCAGCATCAATATGTTGAGGTATTTGGGGATACGAAAGCAAAGTTAAAAAAAAAATCATTGTTTCCCCGCCGAGGATTATTCGCCCCCCTGGAAGTAGGTACGGGACTTCTCCGTCAGCTGGTTGTCCCAGAGGGATGGAGCAGCCGCCGCCGGCAGGCGGCC